TGCTGTGAGCACCATAACCCTTACGAGACCTCCCCGCTGTGACTCTCTCCCCCTGCGGTGCCGCACGGTTTGTGATCACCGGTGACCAGGTAGGAAGGTAAAAATGGAATAGGTGCGGGTAGGAGCATCGTCACCCCACCCGCAGCCCAGAACCTTCGGTAAAGCTTCTCACCAATGGTCTCTGAGCCCGGGGAGATGAGGGCATGTTTGGGCAAGAGAAAGAGCAGGCACAGTCGTGAGAGGAGCCAGTCCTGTACTGCAGCAGGACACGACTAAAGGAGGGTTTCAGGCTCCAGGGCCAGTCAGAGCAGCAGCTTCCATTGGAATGCCAGTGGCTAAGAAATGGGAGAGCAGTTCGGTAAAGCTTCTCACCAATGGTCTCTGAGCCCGGGGAGATGAGGGCATGTTTGGGCAAGAGAAAGAGCAGGCACAGTCGTGAGAGGAGCCAGTCCTGTACTGCAGCAGGACACGACTAAAGGAGGGTTTCAGGCTCCAGGGCCAGTCAGAGCAGCAGCTTCCATTGGAATGCCAGTGGCTAAGAAATGGGAGAGCAGAGACTGGCTTTGGATTTCTGTAAAACGCTGTGATCTTCTCCCTGCAGCTGGATAGATCGACCCGTGAGATTGAGCTGGGCCTGGAGTACGGCATCCCCACCATGAACCTCGCTGGCCAGAGCCTGAAGTTTGAAAATGGCCAGTGGGTGGCAGGTAGAGTGCAGCTCGGCCTGCTGTGATCTGAAGTAGCCACGGTTGGCTGACAATCTGTATTTTGACCTCTTTCTTTCCTTCCAGAATCAGGAAGCTTCACGGGGGATCGCAGGGAAATGCAGCGCTTGCGCAAACGGAACCAGCAACTAGAGGAAGAAAATAACCTCCTTCGCCTGAAAGTGGATATTCTGCTGGACATGGTGAGTCTTGGCCCAGCTGCCACTTGCCCACAGCACCGAGAATGCACAGGCAAAGGGTGCTGGGACCACCGAAGGAGGTTCTTGCTGCACCCCGCTCTTTCTGCTTTACCCTGCTGTGCAAGACAACTGTAATGGCAAAGTGACAGGGGGAGTGAAGTCTGGGCCCCTCTGCGAGAAGAGGGGAAGGTTCCCCTTGCAGCAGAGCTTGACTTAGTGAACAATCTGAGTGGAGTAGAGAGGAGCCCTTGCAAGTGCTGTGTCCCCTCTTTCCCACTCCATGGAGTACGGCGTTGTTCTTGCCAGTCTGGCCTCTGCCCTAACTGTGAAAGCGAGTTCCAGCCACCCTTTGTGTTCACAGAAGATGGAAGCTTACATCTGCTGTGACAAGTGGTGTAACATCTATTCTGTGTGTAAACTTAGGGATGAAAGAATTCCCAAGCCCTAAATAAACCAAAATTCCATCTTACCCAGAGATCACAGTCTTCATGCTTAAAATCTGGAGACATTTTCAGTGAAACAGAATACAGGTGTGTTCTCAGTCTGTTAAGTGATTTAGCCTTCAGGTCAGTCCAAACAAACAGGTTATTCCTTCATCGTTTTCCTTCCTTATGCTCTTCCCGTGTTTCAAAACTGGCAAGCGGCTTTTGTGGCTGGAGCGCGTAGCGGCTGCCCCAGCTGCTCTCCAGGTTCTCCAGGCAACCTCAGTGAAGTGTGACATCTCAGCTCAAAGGGGCACAGATCCCCTCGCATGGCTGCTGGCCTGCAGCTGTATATCTGGGAAGGTCGTGCTGTCAAGTTGGAAAAGCTTCCAAGGCACAAGTGTTGTGACACGAGGTGCTTCTCCAGAGGGAGAGCCACCCCTGGTCCTTCTCGGGGGCTTTCACATCCTGCCAAGAGTGTCTGGGGCACGCGGCAGACTGTCAGGTTGCAGATCCGATGTTGGCCCCGCGGCTGCAGCACAGGGTGGAGGTTGGAGCAGGAGCTCACTCTCGTTGTTGTTGTCTGTGCATTGCAGCTCTCTGAGACCACAGCTGAGTCCCATCTGATGGAGAAGGAGCTGGAGGAACTGAAGAACTGCAGCCGGCGGAGGAAGTGAAGAGGAGGAGGTGGCTGGAGGCTGGCTCTGGGTCTCGGCTGCCCCGTGGGCAGGATGCCAGGGCCGGGGTACTGTCTGTAGGTACTTTGTTCCGTGGGGCTGCCAGCGACAAGGTGGCTGCAGTGCTGTGTGGTGCTGCAGGAACCGCGCAATGGCCGCT